TTGGGATTTTGTATCGACAAGGAAGGTCTCCACACCTCCCAAGCCAAGGTTGAAGCAATAGTAAAAGCACCTGTACCTAAGAACGTAACTGAAGTAAAAGCTTTTATTGGTTTAGTAAACTACTACGGAAAATTCATTCCTAACATGTCTACCATTCTGAGTCCTGTATATAATTTGCTTAAGAAAGATGTTCCATTTAATTTCAATGCTGAATGTATGCAATCTTTCAACAAGGTTAAAGAATTATTGACAAATGCCCCTATTCTTGCTCATTATGACTCGAGTTTGCCTGTAATATTAGCAACTGACGCAAGTTCAACAGGGCTAGGTTGTGTGTTAAGTATCAAAACAAGTGAAGGAGTAGAGAAACCTGTTGCGTATTTTTCACGTACTTTGTCACCCACTGAAGTTAAGTATAGTCAGGTAGAAAAAGAAGCTCTGGCCATTGTTTTCGGTGTTAAAAAGTGTAACCAGTACTTGTATGGCAGAAGGTTTACCTTATGTACAGATCATAAACCATTAATAAGTATTTTTGGCCCTAAGAAGGGGTTGCCTGTTTTTGCAGCTAGTAGGCTACAAAGATATGCTTTGTTTTTGTCAGGCTACATTTTTGACATCAAATATGTTAAGTCAGTAAGTCATGGTAACGCAGACGCTCTGTCACGATTACCACTACAAGTTCCACATCCGATGGAAAGTAATGATTTCCAATGGCAAGGCACATATTTAAATTGTATTTTTGAAAGCTCAGTGCCACTAACCTTTGAACACGTTAAAGTCGAAACGCAAAAAGACCCTATTTTACACAAAGTGTGTAGCTATGTCCTGCATGGATGGCCTAGTTTTTTGCCGGAAGAGAGAGGTGATATGTTACCTTATTTCCAAAGGAAGGAAGAATTGACTGTAGAAATGGGCATTTTAATGTGGGGTTACAAAGTCGTGGTTCCTAATTCTATGAGGGATTATGTTTTAAAAGAGTTACATTGTAGTCATATGGGAATCGTAAAAATGAAGTCAGTGGCAAGGTCGTATATTTGGTGGCCAAATATAGACCAAAACATAGAAGCCTTAGCAAACAGCTGTTTTTCCTGCCTTATGGAACGTTCTAACCCAACTAAAAGTTTCTTGCATAATTGGCACTATCCATCTAAGCCTTGGGAAAGATTACATCTGGACTATTTTGGACCAATAAGAGGTAAAATGTTTTTAATTGTAGTTGATGCTCATACTAAGTGGCTGGAGGCTTTTGAAGTAGGTTCCACCTCAGCCAAACAAGCAATTGTACATTTAAGAGATTTGTTTGCTAGATTTGGTTTGCCAGTAACTTGTCACAGTGACAATGGTCCACCATTCACATCACTTGAGTTTAAACAGTTCCTAAAGTCAAATGGAGTAATACAAACTTTCTCACCTCCCTATCATGCCCAATCAAACGGCCAAGCCGAGAACTCAGTAAGATATGCTAAAACTAAGCTTAAATGTGCACTAAATGACAACACTGATTTTAATGTTGCTCTAAGTCGTATATTGTTTGACTATAGAAACTCCGTGCATGCTGTTACCAATGAAACTCCAGCTATGCTGATGTTTAAACGTCCCCTAAGGACCAGGTTAGATTTGCTAAAACCTAACTTACCAAGTCATGTTGAGTGTAAACAAAACAAACAAAGAGAGTATTTTGGTGGCAGTAAAACCAGAGTCCTGTACCCAAATCAGGCTGTATTAATTAGAGACTACCGCTCAAAAGATAAATGGGTAGAAGGTACTGTACATAAAAGATTGAGTAATGTTTTGTATGAAGTTAGACTAAGTTCAGGTGTTGTTTGGAAGAGACATATTGATCAACTGGTAGGTTTGCAGGGAAGTAGTAACAATGACAGGAATGCGCATTCTGAAACCGTATGTGAGCCGGCAGTGGTACCATCAGCTGATCCCCCCAAAACTCCGTTACAGCAATCCCACTCCCAATCTAAAAATAGACACAGCATATCCAACCGATCACCTGATCATAGTACTCCAGCTACACGTCATACTTCCTTCCCCTCCTCACCTAGCACTCCCATGGTCCGTTCTCCACAACAATCGCCCATTGTACATCCCCAAACACCTGTTACTACAACAGCACGTAGATATCCCAGTAGAATAATAAAACCAGTCGAACACCTTGATTTGTAAAAATTGTATGTGTGATTTTTGAAGTTTGTTTTTGAAATTAATAGTTTTGTTTTACTTGTTTTAAACTTTTATATTTGCTGAGATGTATATAAAAATTACACGGGAGGGATGTAGTATATTTAATGATTTTATGTATTCGATATTATAGTTGTAAAACAGCGTTTCTTGTAGGAAACCAGATTTGTATAAAATGTAAGTGTGTGTTAGTGTGTGTGTACATCACGCCACGTCTGTGACGTCATATCAGGTGATTTTTAATAAATTCCCATTGGCTGCCGCGACCACGCTATACCCGTGCATCTAACCACTACGTCAGTCCGTCCTAGTCCTGCAACCGTACACCTTTATCCCGGTCCGTGCAGCCCGTGGTATTAACTAATTATGTAGTTTTTATTTCTCACTAGTCCCGTCTCCTGTCAAGTTAAGACGTCGTCACACCGGCGACGTCACAGTACTGGTATAACTTATCAGCCCAGCTTTTAGAGACTTGACAGTTTGGTTTTAAATGTATGTACTAGAAATGCCTGGATTTTTTATTTATAAGAGTGCATTACAAAATTAAATAATCTGCTTTAGTAATGCCTGGATAAATTGAGGAGAATTTTAAATATCATAATTTCATCAACGATTTCTTTAAATTTTATTTTAGTAACCGGTTTTGGTCTTGTCTCCCTTCAGTAGAATCCCTTGTATTCATCCTTGGTTTAACTGACTCCTCAAAATATTTAAAATACGAGTGTGGTTTTTAAGTAAGGGCCAGTGCCGGTTTCTTGTATAAATCTGTAGTTCGCTTGTACGCCACACCGAGGCTAATCACCATTTTACTGGCATCATTAGTGAACAGAATTACACAAATATCAGCTCTGTAGTTGTCATGTATGCTTTGCTGTATGTTAAAAAAAATTTTTAACAATCTAATCTCCTGCCACGTCCGAGGTAAGGTCAGTGTAGGTCCCTTAGTTGCCATTAGCTGTATGGGTTATTAATTAACAGCTGTGTCTAAGGATTATGTCGGCCTTAGTCACTAACAAGACTACAAGATCGCGCCACTCATCCCACACTCATCTCCATTCATACTTGGCTTAAAATACCTGCATTTGTATGGTCGCCATTTCAAAGAAAAGTATAAAAGTATAAAGTAAGTGATATGTTTTTTGAATACAAGAAACATTTCCGATGCTGATATTCATCCCCTCATCCCCAAATGAATTAAGGTGATGTCTTTAACCCTGTACTATGAGTAAGGGTAAAGTGCGGAAATGCGTTATGGAGTGTGAAATCTTTTTCTTATTGGTCTTCTTTGAGAAGTCTGGATACTCACCAAAAACAGAATTCCTTCCAAAATGAGCATTTTCACAGCCATTTTAAAACTCCCTAGCATATTTCTGCAATTTCCATGCTATCTTTAGCCATCCCTGGTTTTATTCAAAAGATTAGACTTTATTCTAAAGATAAAATCACAAACATTTGATAATAAGGTGTCTGATAATGTCTAATAAGGTAGTCAGCATTGTCAAATTACAGTACGTCTAGAGTGCACGCCAGATTTTTGGGGACAGGAATGGCACTTGCATTCAAATGGAAGTGGCCATAGTGGCTGCCGGTTTCCGAGCCCGCGCGCAGGCAACTGCTTACCGGAATTCTTCATTCTGGTTTCAGATTCCAATTCAGATTTTGCTCGTATGCATACTATTTAGGTCAATAAATTATGTTTTTATAGGAAAATATTTATTTTTTTTTCATTCTTACTTTTAGGGTTACCACTAAACGGTCTTCAGGATTTTTGTTTATGTAGGTTACACAAGTTTCTTACAATACGATGTCCAATTTTAATAAAAAGTTTCGGTGGTTTCGAGCTCCATTCATCGCAATATACCTAGAAAGAAGCTCTATCATTTCTATTCTAGCTATAGGAAAAGATTTATATAATATCATTAACACCATTTTTCACTGGCTGTAACTTCACAACATTTTCAGACACTATAATTTTACAATCCGACAATTCCTAACGACTGACTTGCTTCTTTGCTACCGAGTCAGTACTGGCGACGTATTTTCTGCTTCCACTGTAGCCACCAAATATATCTGACTCAGATTAACGACGTGCCAAAAATCTGAATCTGAATCAGCGTGCACTCTGGACCTACCATTACAGAATAAGCCAAATTATTGATCACCATCCATCTAAAAAAAGCTTTTCAATTTAAGAAGTCATAAAGTAAAGTCAAAGTCATTTATTCAACCAGATTTATATAGTTTGACATAGGCAATCCAGTGTGTAACCAACACCAGAACTCCCCCCAACCTTAACCTAAGATATACCTAGTGATATGTAGCAACACTAGATAGTTGGCAATAGCCATGACAGCAGCTATTTTGTTAACTTTATCACTTTCTCTACACTTGACAAAGTCCCAGGGGATGCATTATTGTGTGTCTGCTGTATGTTCTATGGCCTATCTTTACTTTTTCAAGGTAAGCTAGCTGCTATAAACTGCAAACAGTAAACAACGTTTATTCGATCTTCACAGACCAACATGATCAGACTAAGGAAACAGGATTAAATGGGGTAAAAAGGATGTTCCCATTTTACAAAACAAATAGTTAAGCAATGTTTCTCTAAAGTCATGTTGAGCTTAAAAATCAAATAATTTGGTATAAAGGGTTGTAAACTTAATTGTAAATAAATTTTTTTTTATTATTCTTTTGGTGAGTAAGTAAGCTTTGTAGTTTTTCACAAAATCTGCAAAAAACCCCTAAGACTGACAGGATTTCAGGAGGTTTTACTGTTTTAAAGGGAAAAATACTACACAGCTTACAAAATCTCAAGAAAAAAACTTTTTATTGTACATTCTTTTTTACCCTAAAGCAAAACATTCCCCAAGGTTTTTTAATGAATACAAAACAAGAAAAATAATATGCTATACCATACCTCTGATTAATATAATTATAATGCATATATGCTAATGTAGAAAAAAATGCCTCGCAATTGTGTTATTTCATTTCTTATACAAATATGCAACAAAAAGTTTTACATAGTTATTTCACTTTAATAAAAAAAACGATTTAGATTTTACTGTGACAAAGACTGGCAAATGGCCATCCTCATCAACCAGTTCCTCTAATTCGTCAATAGGAAAAACCGCTGCATTGTTCTCCATGGACTCATCATCCTCATATGGCAAGACTTCAATCAAAGTTCTATACACAGTTTGCTGGCAACGATTGTACTCAAATATCACACTGTACTCAACACTAGATCTCTCACACATAACATGTCTGAAGCTGTGATACAATTTGTTTCCTTTCTTCCAACATTTAAAAATAAAATGTTGGTCTTCAATTGGATAATTGAAATACTTAGATTTCCAACCGTCCAGGAAATCATTGATGTATAAGCATTTGGTGACATTTAATTTTAGAACACTGGAATTGTGTGTTTTAACATGTTCAATCCACTCAATGACGGCTCCAAACCATTGACAATTGGTACACTTTATCTGTCTGTAAACACAGTACTTAGAGTGATTATCCAAGAAGGTAACAACCATACACATTTCATTAGGACAGAGCTGTGGCACCGCATACAGCACCTCTATCCGATCCAGCAACCGTTTTAAATCTTCATCCTCCTGGAAATAGAATTGTTTCAGAAAACACAAATTAACATCCTTCAACATAAATAATTAATTGGAACCCTCAACTCAAAATATTTGTCTTGAAAAGGAACCTTGCAAAAAACTATTCATTGTAAAATTTCCCTTTAAGATCGCAATAATCTTATGTTTGGTTTATTTAGGCTAACCTAATTAAAATTATTTTAACACAATAGTTATTTGTGCAACTAGTGAGAAAAGTGAGCAATTGACTCACTCGAGAGAAATCCTTACTCACGAGCCGTAGGCGAGTGAGGAATGGTTTCTCGAGTGAGGCAATTGTACTTTGAACTCGAGTTGCACATTATACTTTTCCTACAGTTACCATAAAACAAATAAATTGGTGAAGAAACATAACCTATTTTTACACAGAAGTGAACTTTTAATATAACATTTAATGTGAAGTGACAAATACAACAGTACAACAGCTGACCAGCTGATTTACAGCCAGTGCTTGCCAACGTATTTCGCGCGCATACGACGTTGCTTGCATGTTACGCGCTCACTATTTCGTGCTTTCTCGTTGCAAATCTGGAGTGAGACAAAGTAATTAGAGTGAGACAATGTTAACATTGTCGCTCACTGATGAGCGAATTGGCCACTTTGCTTTCTCAAATCAGTGAGAAAACATGTACATTGTTAGGTAACTGTAGGAAAAATAAATATAACTTTATGAATGTGAGATGTAAAAATAGTCCCCGTGTGTAGACCGTAGCACAAGCTCATTGTAAAACTACATCCACAAAATTTAAAAGGTTTGAGTGGAATCCATATCCCCTCCACCTTACCCTGGAAGTGGAACAACAACAAGTTTAAAATAACAGCAGACATCTTATAATATTTTAGAAAATTTCCCATATATGGAATAAGCTATTACCAAAAGTCTCATGGTAAGGCCTAGACACGGGACCGATTTACTATTTCACTTTGATCGGCCCAGAGGCCAAAAACAGTATCTGCTCAAATTCATATGTACAGAGGAACCTCGTTAACAAGACCTGATAACAAGTGTAATTTTCAAAATCTTCTAGAACTTATTTTACCCCTAACATTGCAAACCTAGATAAGAAGTCAACCTTGATAACAAGTCTTATTTAATTATCCCCATGAGACTTTTGTTGTCGAGGTTCCACTGATACATATCCTATACTTTTATACAGGTGTTCAAAAAAGGTGGGGACATATTTTACGTAGTGATTCCTTGGGTGAAAATAAAGAGAAATTCAAGAATAACATGTTTTTATTGCTTCGTTAATCAGATGTATCCGCCATTTTGTATTTTTTACATGAACATTTTTATCTTTGAAATTGTTCAACCTATATTTATGAAAATTGGTATGTATGTTAAGGTTGAAAAGACCCATCTTAGAAAAAAAAACTCATCTTGATTCGACTAAAATTAGAAAATGGCTGATTGTATGAAAAAATTCAAGAATATTTTACTTAGCATTTTTAATTCCCTATCAAACGTAACCAACTTCAAAGAAATCGAATAAGAAATAGCTGAAAAATTATAACTTTTAGTTGTAAAATGGGGCAAACCTGTCTAGTTTAGCCTTATACTGTCATTTTACAACTAAGAATCGTAATGTTTCAGCTATTCTTATTCAATCTTTTTAAACTTGGTGTCATTACTGAAAGTACGTTAAAGGGAAATTTAGATTCAGTTGTAATGCTAATTGTTTGATCATTTACTTTTTTCTATGGTTAAGGTGGACTGGTAAAACATTATGGTTATGTGTTAACCATTTCATTCCTTAGTTTTATAGTAACCAAAATTTCTAAAACCACTTCTCCCCCCATTGCAAACACAAAGCATGAGTATAACTACAAAATGAGCATGTTACACTCATACGCCAACCCGGTATGAAGGACGGGTATTCTGTTAAGTATATTTCTAGAGTTAACTAAAATTAACCAACCTAATCTAATTATACACAATAATTTATGTTAATATGCTAAATACTTCCTAGTACTTTGCCTGACACACATGTGGACATACAAAATGCTTTTATGCCTAGTCAAAGTGAATAAAATCAAATTGTTACTATACTATTTCATACTTTGCCTAAAAGCTTTAAGCAAGTTAAAATGTCTGCATTATCATACTTTGCCTGTAAACATGTTTGAACATATGGTGTTTTTGTGATCTTAACCATAATGAACGCTCATTGTTTGATCAACAGTAGATTATCTTAAAAATGAGTTATCGATCTCCCTTTTTATAAACCAATTTTCTTAAAATTTAGAAATTAATAAATTTAATGATTATATATTTTGACCCATTAAACATATTCACCCTGTATAGAGGTTACCGGGACCATATCATCTACTATAGAATTTCATGTATAGGCTAAAATATGAATTACAAAGAATTTCAAACACGAATAAATACCTACATATTTTCACCTGACAAAGCAGGCTATTTCCGTTCAACACTTGGATTTAACCTAATTTAAACATGTTGTTAAGTGTTTGAAAGACTAATTATTTATACTAGAGGTCCTCCAGTGGTTAAAACTCGACCAAAAATATGTAATGCACAGACTTTTATATTTTCACCCCACACACTGTAAATAAAACATGTTTTTGGAGATTCTTCCATTTGTTTTGATTTTCTGTTTATTTTTTCGTCACCAGCATATGGCAACCCATAAGATCCATGTTAATTTTTTCAAATTTTTAAACTCATTTTTTGTGGTTATTATTGAGCCTGTTTTAGTTTATAAAAGGATTCTGCACACCTACAGGATAATATCTTTCCAACAGTATGCGTAGATTTTCCCTGCGATGCACATGAGCTGAGAAAATAGGTTTTAAAGAAACATGCTGTCTATTAATATATAGATAGATGCTTGATAGTAACTGTAGAAAAAATATAATATGTAACATGAACACGAGAATAAAGTGCCTTTACTGGACTTGAGAAACTTACCGCACTTGCCGTGCAGCAAAGAGCCACTTCACACACATTAGTTACTGCACAAATAACTATTTCATGGTAACTATGAATAATAGAGCAATACATAATTGTAGAAAATGCAGTTTTAAATATACACTTTTACTTAAAGAACAGATGTAAACTAAAATATGAAATAACCTTACTTACCATGTTTTAATATCCTTTCCTGTTCAACTCTAAACATGCAACATTACTCTCTTGAGCAAGTCTACAGTAATTTGTATCTACTATCAAGCACTTGAAAAGCAATTCCTGTTTCTTCCTATTTGCTCTTGTTGGTCAAATCAAGCTTATCATTAAGTGTGATGATAACTGTGCAGTTAGCCTCTGCAGTTACTCTCAACTAAACACTGTAGAGATGGGCGTTATTTAACATAACAGGATGAATAACAGTGTTGCGGCCACGGCAACGTTATCGCGGCAACACGTTGCCGAGAACTCCCTGTTATTATAATAACGTATCTACCAACACAATGTTGCAGGAAAGCCGCGCGGACCGCGGACAACGAAAACGAAAACATGCATTGCCATTAGTTAGTGCCGTTGCCGCAACGCTACCAGAGCATTAGAGCAACGATAACTTCTGAAACGAACTAGAATTAGAATAACGCATCCTGTCTGGACAACGCGGCAACGTCCGACTCGAGACTACAACTGGAAACTGAACTGATCAACCGACAACGGTAACTGAACGCCGCAACACCGACACCGACCGGCGGACAACGGTTTACACAGCGGCAACGAGTTGGCAATCGTTATTGAAATAACAGGTTGCCGCAACACGTTATTGGGCAGCTGCGTTATCGTTATAACCGTTGCCGGAAAACAACGACAATTCCCATCTCTAAAACACTGATCTGATTATAGCTAGTTGCTATTTTCTAGTCAAGATAAGGACAACAGATAACAAGATCTATGTTTCTTTTTTTCCTGAATTATACCAACCCTCGAACATCAAATACTAAACTTGAATCAATTTGTCAATTCTAGTTACATTAACATAATACTGTAGTTAATGTAAATACTATACTAAAAGAAGTTTGTATTACTGTATTTATTGTAACATAACATTGTGTACTTATCTTCAGTACACAATTTACTATAAATTAAATGCTTACAATTTGTTGGTACTCATACAAACCTTAAAAGAAAAATAAACTTGATTCTACGTTATATTAAAAATCACTTTTACCATCCTTTTATCCGAGTAAATTTTAAACCTAAGTTTACAAACTATATAGTCATTATAAATTCATATTATCAAAATTAAAATTAAAGATTTTACAATGTTAACAAGTGGTACTGGTGTAACATATCTGTCCAGCTTTTAGAGACTTTACAGTTTGGTTTTAAATGTATGTACTACAAATACCTGCATTTTTTATTTATAAGAGTGCATTACAACAAAATTACATCACTTTAGTAATGACTGGACAAATTGAGGAGAATTTTAAATATCATAATTTCATCAACGATTTCTTTAAATTTTATTTTAATAACCGGTTTTGGTCTTGTCTCCCTTCAGTAGAATCCCTTGTATTCATCCTTGGTTTAATTGACTCCTCAAAATATTTAAATACGAGTGTGGTTTTTTTTAAGTAAGGGCCGGTGCCGGTCTCAGGTATAAATCTGTAGTTCGCTTGAGGCTAATCACCATTTTACTGGCATCATTAGTGAACAGAATTACACTAAAAGTTCCTTCTCCATGTTAATCTTGTTGATTATTAAATATTACATATTATATTCAGTAGATTGTTTTTGTTGTGAAATTTTAATGAAGACTTTGTTATTGACTACATTAAATGTTTTATACATTTTTTATGTTTTATTTATAATTAAATTCTATAAATCCTGTTATTTAGTTTTAACCTTGACATTATCTTCTTTATTAAGCCTTTTGGCTAGTCTATACCGGTACAAAGAGTTCCACAAATGTGAAACAACTATTTTATTTATTATTACTAAATACATTTTAAGAAAGGGCTTTATATAATACTAGCTGTTGTACCCGTGCTTTGCAACGGGAAGAGGACACAAAATATAAACATTTTAATCTTTACATCTGTTGCATAATAGTTATATAATAGATGTGTATACACATCCGCCAACGCTTTTAGAAACAAAATTCAACTTTTATAGCCGTAATAGAAACGTTTAAGTTATGACTTTTAAATCTGGTAAGTAGTGGATACCACCATTTTGGTTTTGATTAATTTTAAATCTTGTGTAAGCTGATATATGAGAAAAACTAACCAAATCTTCGAATAAAACTTTGACATACATGATTTACCTTCATATCCCTTAATTACATATCTTTTAATTTATTATTGACATTTTAAATTTCAATTTTGAAGTTGCAAAAATACTAATTATTAAATTTAAATGAATATTTTTTTATTTCACTCTTTTTATATTAAATCACAAATCCTTCCATCTTTAGTTTCTTCACTCACAATAAATCATTAGCAAAACTAAGTCAGCTCCTATAAGCTTTAGAAATATTGCTGTGCCTTATCAATACAGTCTTTTGAAATATTAAAGAAACTATATCCAACGATGTAAAAACTACTTTACGACTAACGAACTAACCGATGTAAACTGAGCTGTTGTTTATATCGTTGACTATATCTATAGGTACTATAAAAATGTTTAACAAATAATTTAGCATTAAAGACAGCGGACAAAACTAATATGATTATCAAAGCATCAAACACTAAAAAATGTAATAGCAAATACAGTATATGTTTCATTGCATTTCTGATTTTACTCTACAAAAATATCAACAAACAACTTAATATACAAACCAGTTCTTTTAATCAGTTCCATCGTCCATTGCCTTTACATTTTCACACTTACCATTAAGTAAACATAGTAACAGATATTTAATTGATTTTAGAAACAAAAGAACACTGTGTACTGCTTAGTTGTATGATATTTTCCTTGGTTTAATTTAATCAGTGGTGTGGCAAAACAAATAATAAATGTATCAAATAAAGTAAATGTGAAGTGAAAGCTAGGTTAAGATAAAATAAGAGTATTTTGTATGACCATTTTATAATTAAATATAGTTACACATATACAACAGATTTTAGAAAACAAAAATCAACAACGTACAATTTAGTTATTGGTGATATTCTATAGTTTAATTTAAGCATAGGTTTAGCAAAACACAATAACTTAATTTACCTAAATATACATATAAAAAACAATATGATGTGCAAGTTATGTTAAGTTAATCCAACCCATGTTAAGCAGTTAGAATTTATTTAAAGTAGCCTCCAAATTCATACAAAACATCTATACATTGTAATTTTCATACTGTTTCCATGAAAACATATCAATGACATTGTTTTCATAACTTAGACGCTTTAAAAAATCCAAAGCAGAGCCGGAGTTGATACAGCAACGGTTATAGAATCTTTTTTTTATAATCATTGACATAGTTTTATAATAGATAATCCATGATAAAAGGTTAGATGAAAATAAACCTACTTCATAGTTATGGAAAATATTATATTTAATTTCTTTGTATCAGTTGTCTGAAATTGTGAGATATTAAGTTTAGCAGTTCTTCTTGTTTACATTTACATGTCAAACAAGTAAACAAACATTGTTAGTGTTCTCATCGCAGCCATGGAGACCAATCAATATTTACTTTTAAAATGTTCACCTCAGAACTTTAAAGCCAAAGGGGCAAATCCTACGGTCAGTACCGAAATGTGAATAGTCCTATAATGGTCCTTGGTATGGTAGCTATATTTTTGTAAAATTTAAGCCCAGTTGGTTTAGTAGTTTTTGCACCTATTAGTAATACACATACAGACAGACACCATTAGATTTTTATATAATAGTATAGATTAGGCTATAAGAAGAATGACGAAGCACCTGTCCATTTATCTATAACGTCTGTACTTTTATGTGCTAATAAACATGATTTGATTTGTTTTGATAAACAAACAAGCTGCAACAGTTTTCTTTTCCTCCATAAGAGTAACATGGGCATTTTAAATGTTCAGTTTTGTTTAAATTTTTATTGGCATATATCTGGTTTTTTAAATTATTATCTTCTTTCAAAATATTGTATATTTTGTTAGGTTAATTGCTCTTTAATTAGTGTGCTAAATTTTGTGTGTATGTTAAAACAATGAAATATACCTATATTAGTAAGGGAGCAGTAAATAATTTTCAGAACATCAATATTACAAAATGGGTTTGGACAGCTTTCCCTTAAAAAGGGTTTAATAACACTTAAATTGAAATGTTACAGACAAATAACAAAAAAACGTGAATTTGTTTGAACCTGCAAACATACCAGAGGTTAATTTATTTAAAACAGTTTCAAATGTTGGCCCAAGAGAATTAAAGCTGCTGTACAAAAGTACCGGTAATCCTGATCATTAGTAATATAAGCTACTAAGAAATGATTGTTCTGTGGCAGTGTTAAGATAGGTGACAGAATCTCGATGATGTAATAATTCTACAGTCACCACACACAATGTGTTACACATACAATGTTAAATTAGGTTTTCATATCTTGAAGAAAATCTTATCAGATCAAACATTGAATGGGCGTAGTGAAACAATGGTTGGATATTTTAAATAAATGGATTTACCTGTTAAAGTGATCTTGACCAGTTTCATTTATGTTTATCTTATTCAGTTGAATTTCCTCAGTCGATGTCAAGGATTCGAAAATCAGTAAGTTTTGAAAATCATTCTGTAATTTTGTACTGCAATCCAATCAGTTTATGTTTCAACACCCGATGAAACTTAGTAAAATACAGTAATATTTCTCGGAATCTTTTTTAAACCAGACAACCTTTTCTGTATAATATATATTACAGTGATTGCAGTTGCTTTGGTCGCTCAAGCTAGAACTTTATCTGATAGTACATTGTAAAGACACAACTTATCCAACACCGTATGTAATGAATTGTATACGATAGATGTAAAACAATCTAACTTTTCGAATTCAAGGTAATTAAAATATAATTTCTCATCCACTTTTCGAACAGTTGATTTCTAAGGTGAGATTATGTTTGATTTCATAACACAAACTATTAGTATTACATTGGCATTCTGTCAATCAGGTGTTATTAATCTGTAAATAAAATGTGAATAATTTTGCAGCAGCAACAACAGTATCAGCTGTGTAGTGAAACTCAGAGGACTTCCCTGGACTGCAACTGTGGACGATGTCGTTAATTTCTTTGGTTTGTAAACATTACGTACAATTTAATGCTTAGATAACTTAAGTGGCTTGTTGTAAATGCTTTGTAATAATTATTATTAATTAATTAATTTGTTTATTTGAAAAATCAAAAAAATCTTACAACATTTTATAAACAAAGCTTGCTGCAAAAGCCAGGAAAAATTGGCTTGTCTGCAGCTCATAGAGATAAACTTGTTCTAGATAACAATGAACTTTGTCCCTTGGTCAGTCCTTCTCCATATTACACTCTGGTTTTCCTTGTTTCTTGTCAAGATCTGCTATTATATTGTTGTTTTGACCTATTCTCTACCTTTCTATATATAAGACTAGCTTGCTTTAAAACAACTTGAAACAATTATCTTAAATAAATAAAATGTATAACAATAAACAGCATGCATTAAATTACTGACCATTGTATTAGTAGTTTTTAGATAATTACTTGGGTAGTGATTAGGGTGCGGGACTTCTGTCCTCTGCAGCCCTCGGTTCAAATCCAGCCAATCACCAAGCAAAAAATATGATTTTAATTGTTCTGAAAATAGTTTTTGCTTAGCCAAACAAACGCTGTATTTTCCAACGCCTTCCCCCAAAAAGATGTTCCTTACCCACACAAACAAAGTACATACTTAACTTTGAAATGGCAACCATACCAATATATAGGTATTTTAAGCCAAGTAAGAATGGAGATGAGTGTAGGATGAGTGGGGGCGATCTTTTAGTCTTGTTAGTGACTAAGGCACGACACTTTCCTTAGACACAACTGTTAATTAATAGTTTAATTAAAAGTTTCTGGGTAGCAGGAGCACTACTATAATGTTTATTCTAGTTTAGTTTATTATGATAACCTCTTAGCAAGACTATTTTTCCTGACCACATCATATAGGAATGAGGTCTAAAACTGGATCCTAAGAGAATAAGGGACATAATTAATGTCCTTGTCCTTGATCATGAAACTTTTAAGCTATATCAAGCTGGCAGTATCATTAGGAAAGGTTTCATATCAATGATTAGAAAATCATGTTTCCTTACACACATACTGATGTTTCAGTATTTATGTTGACAAGTCAACAAATATATTTTCTCCTGTTGAATTGTAACTTACCAAACACATACAATTATTTTTTTAATTTTGTTTGAATAAATGCATCAGCAGGTGTTAACTTAAGTAATTAATAGTTGTTATATGTTTTTAGATGATTGCAATATCAAGAACGGAACTATGGGAGTCCATTTGGTAATAACAAAAGAAGGACGGCCAAGTGGGGTAGCTTATGTAGACTTGGAATCCCAGGATGATGTGGAATTGGCTTACAAAAAGGATGGTCAATACTTAGGGGAGAGGTACATAGAAGGTAAACTATTGTTTTTATTTTTTGTAAAGAATAATTTTTTCAGCATTATTTTTGCTTAAAAGTTTTGTACACATTTTTGATTAGAATATATTATTCAGGAATCACAGTTTTAAAACCGTATGAGATAGAACTAAACTTTAAATGTAGAAAATGTTTGTTTTAAGACCTTTGTACCCCACACGCTATTACATTTTCCAAAATTCATTCTATTTTTAAAATTAGTAAACTTTGGCGCAGTGGTACATTGTACCGGTACACTTGAAGGTAATTTTGGAAAGGGCTTCTTTTCATTAATCTGGGATACAAATTGTGTTCCCTTGCATTAATGTAGGCGGTTGCAAAAAAATTAACTGTAAGACCCTGAGTTTTTAGACATTTTAAACACCCTGTAAGCATAAAGATTTAAAGTTATTTTCTTAAATCAAAATAATCAGTGAACAAATACCTTTAAAATGAGGTATCACTTGTCCGGATTTTAAATTTTCCAAACACTACCCATTTGGTACATTTGGGAGATTTCAAAATTATTTTTACAAATTCTACAATGTAAAACATGGGGGATTTAATTACTAATTAGTTACAAAAGATCTACTTCAATTAGTTTGACTGCTATAATTTAATACTTTAATACTTTTAATACTTTTCATTGAAATGGCGACCATACAAATTAGGTATTTTAAGCCAAGTATGAATGGAGATAAGTGTAGGATGAGTGGCACGATCTTGTAGTCTTGTTAGGGACTAAGGCCGACATATTCCTTAGACACAGCTGTTAAATAATGGCCCATACAGCTAATGGCAGCTAAGGGACCTACAGTTTATAGTGGAATCCGAACCACATTTTTGCCTTATGGTATTAACGAATTGGTCTAATTATCAGGATAGTACGGCAGACAGTCGTAGTACTCACTAGTGCGGACGTAATAATTGTGTACGGCTGTCTGTCTCACCCTGTATAAAGATGTTATAGATAACCAGGAAAGTTACTTTGACTGATTTACTTATCTAGTGTTCCAAGCAACTGTAAGTGAGATGCAGAGAACGATTAGAAGAAGCAAACAAAGCATCCAACGAGCAATATCCGATGCTTGTGTCAGAGTCAGAGGTCTTCCATACAAGACAAGTGAACAGGATGTTATCAACTTTTTTGAAGGTTGGTTTTTTCCATTATCAACTAACCTGCATTATGCAGGCAGGTTACTTGCTTCAGTTAATGTATTTTAAGAAAACTAACCATTGTAACACTGTAAGGTAATATACCCTGATTATGGAGATATGTAGGCATGCCATTCCCATATCAAAGTAGAAGCCAATTTTAGAATGAAAATCTCGTAGTTGATTAAAGTTGATAAAGGTTGAAAATCTCGTAGTTGCATAATCCTTGTCAGAGTATGCTGATGCCAATTACTTATTTCTTTTGTAACCAGATTGTGAGGGAAGGAACTTTTTAACTGAAAAGAAAGCTCACAGAGAAATTTCATTTTTGAGCAGAGCGAGCAAAGATCTTATTCTACACTCCTGCTTTTGTTTTCCACATACTCCTCCTGAACGGCTGAAGGGATCTGCATGAAATTTAGCACAGTCATAGTAACCAACAATCGGAAGGTATAAATCTCATTTAAGATTCATACCTTACAAATTAGACAAAGGGCTTTTCTCTACGTTGATTTACATTTTTACAAATTGAAAGTGGGTCTTATGGGTTTATTGTTCACTACGATATTATTTGCAAGATAAATAAGAGGTAAACAAAAGAGTGTAACATATGTTGGTCAACGACTCATCTAAACTAGTGTGTTCCAGATACTTTTAAAACTTTACTTTGAAATGGTTTAATACATTTATACATTTACATTTAAAACATTTAACATTTAGTACATTTTAATTCATTTAACACATTTAATACATTTACCTCTAGAACAAAAGGGAAGAACAATTGGATTAAAATCGTTGAGCATAATTTACTACAAAATGAATAACTAATTAGGGTTCCCGGAACTAGGCTAATGCCCCATTGACTTATGACACTCCAAAAAGCCATTCCATGTACATGAACCAAATATGCCATTGACTTTGAATACTCAATTAGACATTCTATTTAAGTGAACCAGTGTACCATTGACCTTGGGTACTGCAAATAGGCATTCTATTTATGTGATCCAAATATTCCACTGATATTGGATATTGCAAGTAGAAAATGAATTTATAAAAATAGATGAAGCAAAGAAAAGTATTGGATTAATATGCTAGCTCCGCTCAATATTGCAAGCAGATAACTGCATTAGCACACCTAGTAACAATAGGATAGAGTTGCAACTTGGGCAACACATACAACGATACAACTATGTTCAACTCGTATGAAAAATTTGCTACAGCTGGTCTAGCCCCTCTCTACTCCAGTATACAAAATCAATCATAATACCCAATGAATTAAAAGTTTTAAAATATTTCAATAGGAAACAGTATGAAAGAATGTGTCTTTCAGGTTTAGACATATTACCTGATGGAGTATTTTTGGTACACGATGATCAAGGAAGAACTACAGGGGAGGCGTACGTGCAGTTTAGAGATCAAGAAGAAGCGGAACGAGCACTCAAAAGGCACATGGGACGACTGTATCACAGGTAAAACCATCAGTCGCCATTATAACAAATGTAGATCTCAGGTAATAAATTAATTGAAGCTATATTTTGGTCCATGAGAATCACAGACAGTAGACAAATCAAGAGGAATCACCTTCAAATCTAAAGAATAACTTCTGGATCCTGAGTAAAATTCATCATGGAAATTCCTGGTTAGGATGTAGTATTTCCTTGTGAAATTCTGCATGGGTTATCGGTGCTATTGATGCTCCTGATAAATCTATGATATACAGGTTTGTTTGAGCTGTGATAAACATAACAATAAAAAAGTGGTGTAACTATACTTAAATTTGCATTATAATTGGAAATACAGTAAATGTTGGATTAATAAGTAAAGTATGCTTAACTAGCAACAAATTGCCAAGCAAATAAGTAAGGAATAGCATTTACTCACAAGGTGGAACTGAGCAATTTTTTCAAAGCTTTAAAAATACAGAAAAAGTCAATATTCTCTTAATGAAAATAGAATTCAAGGTATATTCAGCTCAGTTTGTTGTCTATTTAGTGTTTAAATGTGAGAGTTGTCCGTAAATTAAGGTCTCCATCCATCTTTCGCAAAGAGGCAGGCTAGTTCAAATATGAAACCAACATCATGTTTCTTACTTCGTTCACTACTTTTCAGATGGTTCCCACCTCTAATGGACGATTACTCTGGTCATGTTATTGAATATGGTTGTGGAAGAAAATTCACGCTCCCACCAAATACAAAATTAGTTCTGTTATTAAATTTCTGTGTTCTCACCTGTCAACACAATTGAAGTCCAAAGCAGTTGACGGACGTATGAAGTGAAATGTTCGCATTTAAAAAATGTGCGAAAGGGGTGAAAGGAGTTTGAAAGATTTTAAATTTAGCACAATGCTTTCCATGGTGGAGGTTGACTGTTTTTTTAATCAGTTTAATCTGCCCAAAGTTAGGCGAATTTCACAAACGTATCTAGTGACTCAATGAGAGAGATTATCAAACTAATACAGTCGAGCTAGTTGTTAAAATACCTTAATCCGATGAGCGGCGACTGGTTTTAACCCAGCAATGGGGTCATCCTCAGGCTAAGAAAGGACATAGAATTCTCTGAAGAGGTTGTTAAAAAGTCTATAAATATGAAACAAAGAACAGTAACAATTAAACACATTTTTACATAAAAACGTTTTGCAAGAAATTGACTGCTTGGCAGACGGTACGTGTAAATTGAGTTATAAGTCCAGACTGTAGTCATTGCCGTCTTGTCCATCTGCCATCCCACTCCCCCTCTTTCAGTTCTTATCAGGTCCTTTCCGTGTTGTTACTTTCTTTCAAAGCCGACTGCTGTTTCATACAATAAATTACTTTCAAAAGATGCTTTTTTCAAAATGTGTTGGGATTTTTAGTATTTAGTGTTGGACTTTATGACAACCTCTTAAGAGTAATTCTATGACCTTGCTTTGCCAGAGGATGACCCCATTGCTGGGTTGAAACCGGTCGCCGCTCATCGGTGACATGATCACATTAACTGATTAAGGTATTACCTCTAGTATTAATTTATATTGTGATCCAGGAGGCAAAAACAACAAAAAATAAATAATACAGTCTCTATGAGACTATCAGGACTATGCTCACCTTTGTAAGTCTGAAACACGCCGATCTACCAGCAAAGTTTCCTAATCAATCATTGTCACAATGGAAACTGATGAACATCAGCTTCGGGCCCCGTTGTGCAAATATTTACATGCTTTTGCGCACTGCCTAAGCCACTAATGCACATTTGCTACCCTAAACCACTTTTCTGCACACACATCTGTCAACTGGTATCAGTAATCAGATTAACAGGGATCGATCCCCTTCCTAGTTCCTAAAGAAACCTAACACAATTCATATTAGTGGGGGAGTTTATTTTCATTTCCAACAACTTTCAATATTATGAATAGACTAATCGTTTTATAAGGAAGGATAGGCAATAGACAATAGACAATAATCTTTATTGACATGTTTGCTGAGAGAAGTACATGCGTCAGAATAAAAATAAAGTTTGTGGATTTAATATGTTGTTAAAGCTGGTTATCAAGGAATTTTTTTTCTGAGTAAATGGCCTTTCTTGCAGCCAATTCTCTTTCTTGCAGTTAATTGGTTCTTGAAACGGTGAATTGTTCATTTCTAAGTTGTTCTGGTAGGTTATTGAAATAGGAACGAGCTAGAATAGTAGTCCGGAGCCCGACGTTGGTTTGAGATCTGAACCAGCTTGCTTGGTTACGACTGGAGTTAGATGGAGACCTTAATTTACGGACAACCCTCGTATTATCCTTTTAAGAAAATAACCTATTATTTCAAAGCCTATATTATCATTGACTTTTGGATACCATTCCATCCATGTGGATTAACCGTGAACAATTTTCTATTACAAAGGACGATATTTAAATAAACAACTGACTGAGTGTCCATAGACATTTTTAAAATGATATGATACTTTAATACTTTTCTTTTAATACTTTAATACTTTTAATACTTTTAATACTTTAATACTTTAATACTTTTAATACTTTAATACTTTTAATACTTTAATACTTTTAATACTTTAATACTTTTAATACTTCAATACTTTTAATACTTTTCGATGAAATGGCGACCATACTAAGTAGGTATTTTAAGCCAAGTATGAATGGAGATGAGTGTAGGATGAGTGGCGTGATCTTGTAGTCTTGTTAGTGACTAAGGCCGACATTCCTTAGACACAGCTGTTAATTAATAGCCCATACAGCGAATGGCAACTAAGGGACCTACAGTTTATAGTGGAATCCGAACCACATTTTCGCCTTGGTATATACGAGTTGGTCTAATCAGGATAGTACTGCGGATAGTTGTAGTACTCACTCGTGCGGACGTTAATCCACACCAGAGAGTATCACATCCACAGTGCATGCCTATAAATATCCACAATTCGTGACCTCCTAGTAGCTGGATTACAGGACGACGCCACCCGTCCCAGTCTGGTCAAAGAGTTACACATGAAGAGGCACATCAAAGTAAAATCAGACTGTATTTTATTAATTTTTTGTTAGTTTTCATCTAGTTGTCATCTTGTGTGTAAGTTCTTTGCATCTTAGTTTGACTAGGTGTATGTATTTATAATGTAACATAGAATCCACTCCAAAGCTTTGTAAAATGTCAGAGTCATAAACTAAGTTTTTCATTAGGTATATAGAGGTGTTTAGAAGTAGTTTGGGAGAGTTGAGGCTCGCTCAGTCGCCCCAGACAGATCAAGAGGAGTACCTCCCTCCCCCTCCCCCTCCACAGACCCAATACAGAGGGCCGGTTATGAACAACAGGGGTTATCAAATACTGAGACCACTGCGATTTTCTGGTTATCCAGGTATTAATCTCAATTTTTTGTATTTTGTACACTACAGTTTCAGATTTTTGCTCTTTTTTAAGAGAAGAAAAATGCATGACAATTAATTATTCTAAGAGCACGCGGTGTACAACTATCTCCATTTCATTGAGAGAAAGAGACGGGCAAAGAGGAATATGTGGAATTAACATGATTGTTTGCAACTTCTGCCTGTGCAAGTATGAACACTCTAGGCAAGAAGTAGAACCCTGTTTAAATTAAACTAGGGGACCATAGCAGCAATTGCTACTTTATTGCTATGCATACAACTTTAAATGAAATACACACTTTTTTACACATTTAGTTGCGGTCCACATATAACACCAAACATAACAATGTATACATCATCTGGTATGCTTAAAACAGCTTATAGAAACACTGTAGCAGTACTTCCATTAGAAAATGACCGGATCTTTGATGGCCTATGGGGCAGAGCAGTTTAGTTTTTGACACTTCTGATATTTTTCCCATCGTCCTTGGATCTTAAGCTTTAAAATGAATCCTCAACAGCCATGCTACCTTTTTCCTAGCTCGAGATATTTCGTGGGGAACGATATATGGAATTAACTATATAGACTAGATACATTTTCATGAAACATCAAGTTCTTCCATTATTTTGAGTGACATCAAGCTAATAAAACTACAAAACTCAAGAGTTCTGTTGAGTGTTGTTCTAATTCCTGTCAGTAATTATATATATACTTCGTTCTCTAGGCGAATTGAAGGGGAAGTTCCCCCACCACTTTTTTGTATTTAATGTATGTTGCTAGCTGTTGAGCTATTATTAAAGGTAAGGGTTAAGTGGAGGGGATAGATTTCTTTCCCTAAAACCGCCTAAATATTGTGCACGAAGTTTATTAAATGAGAATAATAATGCCATACTGTGTAGGTAGATAACCTACAATCAGCTGATGACCAGCTGACCATTTATCTATCAATAGTTATTTGTGCAACTAGTGAGAAAAGTGAGCAATTGACTCACTCAAGAGAAATCCTTACTCACGAGCCGTAGGCGAGTGAGGAATGGTTTCTCGAGTGAGGCAATTGTACTTTGAACTCGAGTTGCACATTATACTTTTCCTACAGTTACCATAAAACAAATAAATTTGTGAAGAAACATAACCTATTTTTACACAAAAGTGAACTTTTAATATAAGTGAAGTGACAAATACAACAGTACAACAGCTGACCAGCTGATTTACAGCCAGTGCTGCCAACGTATTTCGCGCGCATACGACGTTGCCTGCAGGTTACGCGCTCACTATTTCGTGCCTTCACGTTGAAAATCTGGAGTGAGACAAAGTAATTAGAGTGAGACAATGTTAACATTGTCTCACTGATGAGCGAATTGGCCACTTTGCTTTCTCAAATCAGTGAGAGAACATGTACATTGTTAGTTAACTGTAGGAAAAATATTTTACTAACATCCCAATGATCTATGTCATAAAAGCCTGTTTTTCATAGACAGATACATTAGACAACAATGGAATGGCGCCAGATACCCACCATACGACCAAAACCATGGAAGACAACGGGACCCAGAACCAAGGTACCACCAGGGCGAAGGTAGAGAACGTAAATCAAATGCTTTGCACATGCGAGGACTTCCTTACAATGCTACTCGAGATGACATTACGGAGGTAAGACCAATCAACTGTGACTATGGTTTGTTTGAAGCTCATTATTGGTGAAGGTGAATTTAAATTATTTAAGGGAATGTTGCACACATTTTCCATCACAAATAGTGAAAATAAAAACAAAGTTTTTCATAACGTTTAGGGTTTTGGATCTGATTCCATCCTCAGCTGAGAATGTATTAAAAACTTTACAAGGATAGTATACAAACACATCCAAAGCTGGAAAAACAGAATAAAAACACCCACAGAACAAGTATACTGTAGTAGTCAAACAGATATAAAACTAAACACACCTGCCGCAGCAAACCTGCAGACTAAGCGAATTTCCATTTGCCTTTATAGATTTTTACTCAATATTTTCTTTAAGTTGTCAGATTTAACCTCTACTTTAAACAAACAATCAATTTAATGAGTAAACATGGGCATTTTTTATTTACACTTTTTTCTCTCTCTATATCCGGTAAGCATACAACAACGCTTTAGTGTGCTAAGTTTTGTTTAGGCTCTACAAAATGGTTTTGAAAGAAATTACAACGAAGGTGTGTAGCCTACCTAACAAAGTATTTCAAATTTAATAGCCAAACATATTCTTTTTACGATTTTCAACAAAAATAACTAGACCTAATTTAAATTAAAATAAATTAAATCCATTTCTGGGGAAAAAACTAAAATTTAAATAACAATGTAGGATAACCACACTCTGGTAAATAGCCAAATGAGATAGAAATCCTAGGCATATCTACAGAATTGCTCACCATTTTTACTAGGAAATAAATAATAAGACATAGGCCTAGATTTAATCAATGATTACAATGGGAACCATAACTTACTTCAGACTGTTACAGGAGTTACTATGTAATTAGAGTACGGTAGTGAATATTAAATAGATTTGTTTGTACATTTTTAGGTAGAATCCCAAAATCATGTATTTCTGGTGTCTTTGCCTCCTGATCACAAATTTAAAATAATACTAGAGTTAAAAATACCTGTAATCGGTCAGAGTGATCAATGTCACCGATGAGCGGCGACCTGTTTCAACCCGGAAATGGGGTCATCTTCAACCAATAAAAGAACATAAATTCACTCCAAAAAGGTTGTCAAAAAGTCTATGAATACATAACGAAGTACTACACTTAAATACATTAAGTGGAGTTCTACTTCTAAGTAGTTCACTTCTAAGTGTAGTCTTCTTTTATCGCTGCTGGGTTGAAACCGGTCGCCGCTCATCGGTGACATTGATCACACTGACGGATTAAATAGGTATTTTAAGTTTTAACCTCTATTAAGTATTAAAATCGTGTGCAGTTAATTTGTGAATATTGGAATAGCATATGTACCTACCAATTGAGATGATTAAGTTACATTCTAAAATTGAAACTAGCACATAATTTTGCCTATCGTAATAATCCACTACTCACCTAATAGCCTATTATCTACTTGCTTATTCATGTATTTAGGAATACTGTGAAGTAACAGAAATGAATTTGATCTTTAACTGCCCTGCACAGTTTCAGAAGAGCAAAGACAGCTGCTCGGCACAGAAGAAGAGTCATCTGACCGCCACAGCAGCGACGGAGAAGATGAGATACCAAAGGAGGTGTGGACTATCAATGAGGAACAACAAGAGTACTACAGGACACAGTTCTGCAACCTGCAGCCCGACCCTAGCTGTCTGTTGCCAGGACCCACGGCCAGACAGTTCTTTGAGAAGTCCAAACTGCCTGTGCAGGAACTCCGCAAAATATGGTAGGCCTATTATATTACAAATCTCGATTGGCAAACACATATAATCTGGCAGCGGTCCGCGAGTGTTAGTTACGACTTCTACGAGCTTTTCATAAAGCTTGAAGCACATACCATATTTTGAGTCCCCATTAGGCTAGGTACTGTGTGAAAATCATCTAATAAACTATACCCCCACCGCAGCAAACCTGCAGAATGAGCAAATTTTCGTTTAACTCACCTGGCTGGATTTTCACTATAATATTCCTGTAAAATTGTCAGATTTATCTCCCCATTTAAATAACATAAGTTTTAATGAGTAAGATGCTTACTTATGTTTGCTGCTAGAGGGAAGGTAGAAAGGTTTTTTTTGTTTTAGCGAATTTCCCTATAGGGAAGTAGCTATTACCGTAGGTCTCATGGTAAGACCTAAGCCCGGGACCGATTTACTTTTTCATTTTGATGTCCCCAGAGGCCAAAAACACCATTCGTTCAAATTTTTATATATCTATATATAGATATATATATATATATATATATATATATATATATATATATATATATATATATATATATATATGTGTCCATCCGCACGATAACTTGAGTAATTTTTGTCCGATTTTGATAAAATTTGGTTTGAAGGTGTAAGGCGGGATAAACTTGAATGAGTTCGCGAACCAGCATGATCGGACTATGGGAACGGGGGTTTATGGGGGGTTTTATGGGGTAAAGATAGGTGTTTCCCATTTTTGCCCCTAAAAACACAAAATTTCACAATTTCTTTTTAAACCATTTTGTAGAGCTTAAAAAAACAAATAATTTAGTATATTGAAGCGTTATTATGCGCCTAATTGTTACGGAGAAAATTCAAAAAAATTGTAATTTTAAAATTCCCATGTTATTCTTATGGAGAATAAGTCGACTGTTGCAGTTTGCTTGTTTATGAACATATTTTGATCGATTTTGGAAAATACTTTTATTTCTTACTAAACTATTATCATTTCATAAAAAAATCTTTTTTACCCTCCCTGTTGCAGCAAACCTAAGGTACTTGTTAAACTAATTCTATTTAAATAGGAAATAAATGTGCTATTTTTATGGAGGCATTTTAGTGTAAATCCAATCAGGTCAATGGAAATTCGCTTAGTCTGCAGGTTTGCTGCGGCGGGGGTATTTTTTATGTTGGTAGCTTAGTTTGAAATTGTAACTACAACAGTTTATTTACTCTCCATAAAAATAACATGGAGCATTTATTTTCCCTGTTTCAACCCTTACAACAAAACTGAATGAAAGTAACTACTAAAATGTAAAACTATTGGTTTACAATAAATTCTGTAGTAACACTGCTGATAGTATGTTATAATTTTGTATATAGGCTATATGTTTTACTAAGCCAAATGGTTTTTAGCTAGCCTGTTCTAAAATTTTGTTTATTTAGGAATCGCAAAAGTTTAATCATACATTTTGTAATAAAGAACACTGACTCGCCCAGAACTACAGTTTAACACAATGATTACCTGAACCACAAACTTTCTGATGTTTTAATGTACATTTTGCAGGCAACTAGCGGATGTGACGAAAGATGGTGCGCTGTCCCTGGCTGAATTCAATGTTGCAATGCACCTGGTGGTGTTGAGGAGAAATAACATCCCGCTACCGGACGTGTTGCCGCCCGCTCTACTGCCCAGCGTGACCGGCTCACGCGCGTCTAGTCCAGCTCTCAGCACGGCTGGGTCAACCAGCTCACCACACCGGGGGAAAGAGGCAAGTACAATCATTAGTCAAAGCACTCATGTCAGCCTAACACTGCTGTTGAAAGGCGGACTTTGCAACTAGCCTACCCACCTTTATTTTTGGAACCTAAATCAAGACAATTCAACCCCACCTCTATAGGCTATCTTCTCTCCGAGACTTTCTTAAACATCTCATGCTCCAACACCTCGATTGTGTTAGAACCTCTAGAATTCTCCCCAACAACTCTATGGCATTAACCAGACCATTCAGAACCAAACCAACAGAACACAAACTAACCACAACAACACATAACTAGTGTGTCCAGGAGTTAAATTTAAAAATCCTGCTTTCCGGGACGAGAAGATCCCGTTATATCTTGCTTTAATACAACAAAAACTCCCCTTTTCTCCCACATGTATATTCCAGTTCTATTGCAAGTGGACTTTTTGGTGTATAGTTTTTAAATTCCTCTTTAAACCTTGCACTTATTGATAGAAACATTTAATCTGTCAATAGGTTAGTTTTTTTTAGAACATCAGTATAAAAAAGAAAAACTGTTGTGAGAGCCACATATCCCGTTTTATCCGACATCCCGTCATAATCCAGCACACAGTCTAAAAATCCTGTTTACGGGGTTAAATGTTAACAAGTTGCTTGTTTGGAATAGACTATTATTGTTTCATAATATCTACACTCAGCATCAAAGCTCCAATTTTTCCAAAGCTGAAGAGGATTAAGTTGTAGAACAACCCTAGTTGGCTAACTATTAATCACCCAATGAAATATGAGGAGCACTTTTTGTCGGTGGTTAATATTTTGCGTTAGAGTATGTTAGTCTTTCACGCATGTTAAATAACTGTAATAATGTAAAGATCCGTGTAAATGTAGATGTTAGCATAGTTTGGTAAAATGTAGATGTATAATTTTGGTGTTTTTCCCTAAAACATTATGTCTTTAGGTATAAAAAATGTATTCCAGTGTGAGTTTGGGATTCTTATCATTACTAACTAGTGTAGAAATAGATATATGCCAGCAAGTGTGAAATGTGTGCTCTAGTTTTTTACGATCATTGTTTTTATTTCAGTGGACCAAGTTTGTTGATTCACCTACAAGCTCAGTTTCATCTCCTGGACCCAAACCTGTGAATTTCGACTTCCATAAATCTGCAGTAGAACAAGTAAGACCACTTTTGTTTCAGTAGTTAATTAGTAGGTTTTAAATTTGATATTATTTTTGTTCATATGAATAATATGTTATATTGAAACATCATATCGTAGTTTAGAGGGATCTAGATATATAATGGTATCCAACTTATTTAGACAGTTAATGAATGGATGCCTGCTAATAAAAACATGCCGCTCAATTACTTTGTCTGATACCCTATACTTTTATGCTAATCCTTACAAGTAGGCACTCTATATAACCTTGTAATTAAATTTTAAATAATTACTGACCTATTTATTGAATAACTTCTTGATCAGCATTGTAGGCCTACGTGTTATTAAATTTACGGAAAGTAAATAAAAGAAACGTCTTATAACACTTAAAACATTTATTCACGCTTATACTGTTACAAGACGGTAAATATACAAAAAAGATGGTAAGTGGTGATCGATTTCGATTGGACACTCCAATCATTATCAGACCCAACAGGCGAATATTTTAAATTTGATACTGGACAATTTTTACTTGGTCTGTCAAGTGGTCTTGTTCTTTTACATCTGAATAAAACACTCTTGATTATCGTTCTTATACTTTCCACACATTTCCTGCCCAAACAAAAATTTCATTTTTTGTGACAGTGAGTTTATGCTTTTTAAGGAATTACTATGAACATTTTCTGTCACGATTAGTAAAAACTAAAAAGTAAAGTTTTCACATCCTTTGGGATCTTGAATTTGATCCCATCCTCAGTCGATAAAGTTTCTAAAATATAAAAAGATTTTTACACAAACCCAGTCATGGGTTTTTTTTTACTTATGGTTAGGGATAGTTTCTGGAAATATATCTTAAACAACATGTCCTTCCCTCCTTAACCTACCATTGGTCACGTTGCTCACGTTCCACAAGCTATAAGGAGCTGCCTAACATCAAGTCGCTTACAGTTTTTCTGCCATAAGCCTCAACTTTGGGTTGGAACTGAAATATTTTTGAATAGCTATGCATGGAAACGCACATTAAGAGCCGGCTGGAGCCAGCGAAAATTTCGCCTTTTGGCAGCGCCTGCAATACGTGAGATGCGGTAGCGCCACTATCGGTGGCCACTAGGGGAGTTACGTGCTCTTGCTCTATTCACAGAACTAAACCTAGGCTTCGAGAACAACACACAGTGTAAAAAAAACACTGAATAACCGCAAGGAACCGAGCAAGATAGTAACGTAGCCCTTCCTCGACTCCATATCCATCATAAATCATAACAGCTGAATGTTTGTCGGGTTTGGTCGGGTCTGACCTGACCTTCACTATAGCTTGCTATGCCACTTTGAAACAATTGTAGTACAAGTCATTGATATAACTTTATTACAAGATTGAATTATTTTAAAACCATTTTTAACAATGTTTAGATATAAGTTTTATTACAGTTATCGTTATTTAAAAATCAGTTTGAAGCTTTTTCCTAAGAATGTTTGTTTGAGCGATTAAAATTTTATCAAAGATCCTAATAATTATATCAACCATTTTTTAAATCTAAGATTTGACTAACATACGTTTCAAAACAGTTTTAACAAAATAATCTTTCTAAACAACATATGAACAGTTTTAACATTTGGTTAGTAGCTAGTCTTTCAATTGCTTTAAAGAGTTTTAAAAATAATTTCCAAAAATGTAAATTCGACTAAACCGATATGTACTAACGTAAGTTACAACAAGTTTGACTAATCTTTAAATTAATTTTTAAATGAAATTGATATTAAACGACTTGTATGTCTAAGATTGTATAAAAGAACAGTTCATGTAATAAAAACGGTATGTACGTTGAACGATTTCAACGCGTGTTGTTTAGTAAATTGTATTAAAGTGGGTAAGTATTTTTGTATCCATGAGTGAAATGTTATTTTAATCAAATTCGTTACAACTTACAAATAGGCCCTAATGTGAGGCATATTCGTATAATTGTCTTAAATGCAAGTAGGCGGTCTTCCCTTTTTAATGTAAAAACACTGTTGATTTTTCTCAACTCCATAAATTTCTTAGGGAGTATATTTTACGTTGTATATTTCTTGTTTTCCCTGTGAATGTGTATTTATTTTCATAACATTATCACTATCAAACGTTATAAACAACAAGTATTGGTAGTTTTTATTTTAGTAAACCACATTATCATTCGTCACTAACGGATGATAGGGCAGGCCCAGCAGGTAGTCCCATTGTGTTCGTGCGAGTGAGTGGGTAAAGGATCGCCTATTTTCTAACTTTCACATTTTTGCCAGTGTACAGGCGTGTCCAGGAATCGAACGCTTCCTCTACTCGCATTGTACTAAAGCGTGCGCGGTCCAAGTATGACAAAATATCTGTAGAACCCCATACTGGCAATAATGTCAGTAAATTCGTCTTGTACAGTAAAAAAATATCAACATATGCAAATCCTTCGAATAACCATCTCGCAAGGCATACTGCTGAAACTATAACAATGTTGTCTGTTTACACAATTGGTTTTTATTTTTAAAGTATACTAAAAGTGCCACATCAGCCTAAAAAATGCATTGCGAATCACCCTAAAATAATTTAGCTTGCACTATTGCCTGCAATTTCCAAACAAGAATGATGTACGGAACTGCCCGAAGGCTCTCTGTTTTAGGTGCAATACATCAAAAATTGAAACTTGGCCATTTTCATATTTAAAATATATTTAAAATTGGCCAGCTACCTGCACAGTTATCTTTGATTTGAAACTATACCATCAATAATAATAAAAGCACCGATAGAACTTAATTCTAAAATATTATATAATAATGTGCATTGTAGGAATATATAATAAAACATCGTTAGGTTATATTAATCCATTTATAATTAGGAAAGTGATTTTTGTTTCAAATTCAATTTTATCATTCGGAAACATTACAATAATGAATAAAACATATATGAGCCAGTTGAGTAAAAACAAGTTTGATATTTTACAGTTATTTAAAACATAATTTTTAAAAGTTTAAAACCCACACTTAATGTAATGTTTATATGCACATTTTATTAAATATATATATCAGTAACACAACTACAGGAGGGCAGTTTAGTTCTAATAAATGTATATCTGTAATTAATTAATTATACTCGTACCGTACCGGTATGTTTGAAATAAAATAAAAACATTTTGAAACATTGCATAATGAATGAAAAATATATGGAGAGAGAGAGAGAGAGAGAGAGAGAGAAATTCTTTATTTATACACATTATTTTGCAGCAAATACATTAAGAAATAAAAATATCACATGGGTCACAATGACCTGTGCGTGATAGAGTCCTTACTGGCTGCTTCATCAAAATAAAAGTTCTTCACACTTCACTACACATAAAAAAAAGAATAAAAAAAAAAACAATTACTTGGTAAAATAAGCATACAATTTAATTTAATATACAATTATAATTATAACAACCTAATAACCATACACAATGTGCAACTCAATAACTTTTTTTTTTCAATTCCCAATTTTACTGAGGCGTAGATTCCGTCAAGTAAAGAGTGCTGTAGAAGGTACAATAGATAGTCCAGTTATCAGTTGGTTAGGTCTAAACGAGATATTCTGGGCTGATAAGCGACTCTGTATTGTCAAGGCCTATCTCCATCAGCCAATTAGCGATAACCCTCTTATATACACTCAGTGACACTCGCAGGTCCCTAATTTCTGAAGGAATATTACGCAACAAGCAATTAGCAATGTAAAAGGAATTTGTTAAATTGATTGATTTGAGAACTCTTGGTACCCGTAATCCTATCATCACTGAGTTTCTGGTATGATAGTTATGAACTACGGGCAAGGCGATAAGGTCCAAATGAATGTATGAATAAGCTAATAAATCTTTAACATATAGCTGCCTTATTGATAAAAGCTGAGATTCTTTGAACAAATGATCAGTAGAATAACGTCTCGGTTTTCTTAACGCAGCTCTAATTATTGATTTTTGAATTACGAACAAAGGTTCAATTACCGATGAATAAGCCCCTCCCCAAGCTATTAAACCATACTGCAGATGAGATTGAACGTATGCGTAGTAAATTCTTTTAATTTCGTCATGTCGTAAAATTTGACCCAATTGATAAAAAACATAAATCATTTTTCTAAGCTTTGTTTTTAAAAAAATTATATGGCTTTCCCATTTCAATTTAGAATCCATTATAATGCCCAGGTATTTATACTGCGACACAGTTTCAATAATTTGGCAGTTGCAATCGCTGCCTGCGGTGCCACATGAGTGCAAGGTTAGTCTGAGTTCGGCGGGCGGCTCGCTAGCGGGACGAAGTGCGATAGGCAAACATTTTGTTTTACTGACATTCATTGTTAAAATATTTTCTGAGAACCATCTTTTTAAAATTTGTAATTCTGATGATGCAATATTAAAAACCTCTTCCCAAGTACGTGCCCTAAAGATTACTGCTGTGTCATCTGCAAACAAGAATATTTTTCCAGAAATATCAATTTTATCTATGTTATTTATGTAAATTAAAAATAATAAGGGCCCCATTGTAGAACCTTGAATAATTCCAAAATCTACATTCATTTGATCACTAATTACGTTATTAATTGATACTACTTGAGTCCTATTGCTTAAATAACTTTTAAACCATGCCAGGGCTAAACCCCTTACTCCCAAATATTCTAACTTTTTGAAAAGAATTTTCCTATCAATAGAGTCAAACGCTTTAGCAAGATCTATGAATGCAATTAGTATTTTTTCATTTCTATTCACTGACTCGATTAATGTTTTATTGATAAGAAATAGTGCATCAGTAGTATTTTTACCTTTTCTAAACCCAAACTGTTGTTCTGATAAAATTCCATGTTCATCCAAATAATTTTGGAGTTGAATTTTGACACATTTCTCTAACACTTTAGATAATACACTTAACAATGAGATTGGTCTATAATTATTTTTGTCATTTTTTTGCCCGGACTTATAAAGAGGAATTACCTTAGCTATTTCAAATCTGTTTGGAAAAATGCCTGAAGTAATACTCAAGT